TCAGCTCTCTCTCTCTCTCTCGCTCTCTCTCTCGCTCTCTCCCTCTCTCTCTCTCTCTCTCTCTCTCTCTCTCTCTCTCTCTCTCTCTCTCTCTCTCTCTCTCTCTCTCTCTCTCTCTCTCTCTCTCTCTCTCTCTCTCTCTCTCTCTCTCTCTCTCTCTCTCTCTCTCTCTCTCTCTCTCTCTCTCTCTCTCTCTCTCTCTCTCTCTCTCTCTCTCTCTCTCTCTCTCTCTCTCTCTCTCGCTCTCTCGATCATCAAGCATAGTGCGCGCCACACACCACCGCCAGGCCATTCATATCACTCCGCGCGGGAAAATAGTTCCCTTCATCCCGTCTGGACAAATTGGACAACACATTATGCGAGAAAAAAGCAGATATATTTAAATACATTATGCAGTACCTCATATGTCTGTAATATAGCGTATGTTTTTGTGCTGTCGCTGTTTAAGAAGTGAGGTTTACTCAAGTTTTATGTCATCCGCTTTGATGTGTGCTGCGGCTCTCTGAGACGGTTTGCGTTTGCTTTTAAAGGTACACTTATAGTAATTTTTCCTCATCAAAAAGTTTTACCCCGAAAAGAAATAAGGAGTACATTTGAATATATGTTTAAAATCACGTACAATCAATCACATGAAACAAGGACTTTAGTCATACATCAGTATCTTGATAAAAGCACTTTTTATTTTGGTCTATCCATTCTTGAGGGTGACATCACATTGCTACACCAACTCACTTACATACACAAAGACTATGTAAAAAATGTCATAGATTTACGAGCAATGTCATTCATTTGAAACAGGGACTAAGCTGAACCTCCTGAACAGTTTTATAGTTCTGTTCCTCCTGTGCTATTATAAAACACTCATAAAACCCGCCCAATAACCACTCTTAGACAGTGACACACAGGAAGCAAGTTATACAAAACCTTATCATTCACAGAATCAGCTAAATCATTTGCAGTTTAATTCTCAAAATTAAACATTCTCTTTTACTCTCTCTACCTCTCCCACCCACACTCTTTCTCTCACCATAGGACAGTCTATGAGTAAGGGGGACATCCCACCGAAATGAGTATACGGGTTTAATTAATCTGATACTGGGCATGGGCTTCTATTTTTGTGTGAGGGAGTGGGGATGAAAGACACAACGCTGAGTATGCAGCGGCCTTGCCTCATTATGATGACAACAACATGCAATCATACATGTCCCCAATGAGCAGTAAACTCATATACACACAAGCATTGCACCAGACTCATTGAAAGCACAATAAATGAGTCTCAACAAATAGCTCTTTTTCCGAATAGAAGACTGGGGAGATTTTACGGCACTTTGTTGTGTTAACAGTTAGCTAAGATGAGCTAAGAATTGCATGAGGTATTATAATATTTCCTTTACTTTTTAGTTCTTGTGTGGCCTTGTGATAATATTTTATCATTAACATCATTAACATAATTATTTCTGGGTTTTTTTAGGTTATAAGGTTTTAACCTAAATGGTTTTTGTTTGGTGTCTGTCGTATATAGTTATTATTACTGACCATTATCTTGGGGAACACACACACACACATATGCTAGTGGGAGTTTAGGTCAGAAGTGTCAAGAGAAGTGTGTGCAGCCAAGGGCCAGCTGTTACATACAAAATGAAAACACAAGGGCCTGCACTAGTCAGATTTGATTTATCCTTATCAGATTGAGCCCAACATTTTTGTCCCTTTACACATGACATATTACGCAAGAAGGAAGCAGTAAGTAAGAATTGTGCAGGTTTAATGTCAATTTCTAAATTTACTAAGATGTAATTATAAGACATCAAGGCAATTTTCAAGAATTTTTAACCATTTCAATCTGGAGAGTTTTAAATTGCTGGTCATTAGTGTATGGCCACAAATTTTGTTAAATTTATATATGGCAACCCTTGGTACATTGTTAAAACAGTTTGCTAGCTGTGCTAAAAATACTCTGGACCTCAGCTCAGCGTGGCACTGTTTCTGTCTTTTATCTATTTTAAAGAACATCTGATGTATATTTTTATAGCATTTCCTTTCTTTTTGTCCTCCCACATGGTTATAGTCAATATATACTCAAAACTGATGTATAAACAGGCGATCTTTCTGAATTTTTCTGAACAGAAATATTAAGCAGCACAACCATTTTCAACATTTATAATAAAAAGAAATGCGTCTTGAGCACCAAATCAGCATATTGAAATTATTTCTGAAGGATCATGTGACACTGAAGACTAATTGCTGTGGAAAATTCAGGTTTGCCCTCGCAGGAAAAAAATTATACTTTAAAATACATTAAAACAGACAACAGTTATTTTAAATTACTACTAATATTTCAGAATAAGACTGTTTATACTGTATTGTATAAAATACTTATTTTTAAAACAGTAGAAAAAAAATCTTATTGTCTCCAAATTTTTGAATGGTACTATATAGTTTTATAAAGGTCTGTATGATAAATCCTCATGTAGTTAGCTAAGCAAACCTGTGTGTGTGTGTGTGTGTGTGTGTGTGTGTGTGTGTTCATGTTCATCATGTATCTGCATGACAGCGTGTGGCAGGATGGAGGCTGCCAGTATTAAAATGTGCAGCTTGACTGCAGTGGCCAGCACAAGCTCAGCACCTGTTTATTCCCTCAGGGGCTTCGGCTCCTGGACAGCTGGTTTAGGGGTGAAGTAAGGGATGAAGTCCAGGGCCTAGGGGGCTTGTAGTTGTAGATGTGTGGGGGTAGGAGGCAGATGGGGTCTAGAAGAGCGAAGTGGGGGGATTTGAGGGTATATATGTCTGTGTGTGTGTGTGTGTGCGTGCGTGCATGCATTCGTCTGAAGAATTGTCTCACACAAAAGGCAAGGCTGTGTGAATGAGTAATGGTCCTATACAATCTGATGGCTGATGAGGGTATTGTGCATACTTGAACTCAAGAGACCCTGGGGAGCTATAAGGTGGTAAAGAGGGTCGGAGGGAGCTGACCTATGTCCCAGTGGAGGACATGTGTTAGAGTGATAAGATGAAGCTTATGTCTAATCAACAGTGTTTAACACAATACTAGTACCGATGTGATAAAGGACAGCTGGAAGAAAGCAATGACCTCGGCTTCATCTGTACATGTTCAGCAGAACTGAAAACAGCAGTAGAGCATCTCAGCGGGACAACAGCATCAATGTCAGACTAGTTTTTGTTATTTAGGCCAATTAAGTATTATCTTAAACATATATAAGCATTTTTCTCAGTATATAATGGGTTCTTTTGTTTAACATGTTTTTCTCTGTTGCATTGATATAGTGTTCTCACAAGATAACTTTATGCGTATAAAGTGTACTGCTGAAAGAGACAGATGGAAAGAAATTGCCACTAAATCATTTCGGAAAACAGTTCTGACGTGATGACTTTGTGCCAGTATGTTGTGAGTGACAGATACTGAGAGATAAACAAATATTTCTGCCAAGAGCTAGTTCTGTGAAGCTCTGAGTAGCACTGTTTCTGCGTGGTGGGATCTCTATGTTGTTTACATGCATACATTTTTGTTTATATGTTAGAGTTTTTATTCCAGTGTAAAATCATGGTCACATTTTATTTTAAGGTCTAATTCTTGCTATCAACAAACCATTAAATATGACTTTTGCCTCAAGAAACTCCTAATTTGCTGCTTATGAATTAGTTAATAAGGTAGTTGTTAAATTTAGGTATTGGGTATAAGGGATGTAGAATATGGTCATGCTGAATATGTGCTTTATAGGTACTAATAAACAGCCAATATGTTAATAGGCATGCTAATAAGCAACTAGTTAATAGTGAGAACTGGTCCATATACTAAAGTGTTACCAAAATCACTATGTGTCTTTTAGCCTATGTGTGTACATACTTAGCTATACTTTGGGCGCAGGTTTGTTCCTGGAAGTGAGCTAAATCTGACAAAACCTGCATTTGAGAACATCTGAGACATTCTTATGAAAATGCTATATATTATTGTTAAAATGGTGTCTTTTTGATGTTTTTGAAAGAAGTCTCTATTGTTCACCAATGCTGCATTTATTTGATCATAACAATATGCTGATTTGGTGCTCAATAAATATATATTTTTTTATCAATGTTGAAAACCATTGTGCTGCTTAATATTTTTGTGGAAATTGGGATACATTTTTCCAGGATTATTTTATGAATATAAAGTTCAGCATTTGTTTGAAATAGAAATATTTTGTAATTTTATGATGAATTCAAATATCATACTCCTTTCAATGATAGTGTATTAATACATTTTTTGTTTTAATTCTAAAAAGTTTTCTGTTAGGTTTAGCATGTGAGTTATTCATAATTATCTGTATATAAAACCCAAAGAAATCTATGGTATGTTCCCATTTGCACTGCATTGCTTAAGAAAATGTGTGTGTGTGTGTGTGTGTGTGTGTGTGTGTGTGTGTGTGTGTGTGTGTGTGTGTGTGTGTTTACGAGCGTACCTGAGAAATTTGCAACTCCATAGGTTGTGATTAAGGCATGTTTAATGGCAGACATAAGTAGGGTGTTATGCTGAGAGCCGTCACACCACGACAGCATGAAGATTCCAGGCAGCAGAGCGCAAAACAACCCAAGTTTTTTGCTATTTTAAATCCATCAATCTGTCCACACAGCAACAGGCATATGCAATCACACACACACACACACACACACACACACACACACACACACACACATACACACACACACACCACCATAAAACCTTTAACTTTGAAGAAAAGCCACTCCTCAGTCAGCATCATAAACATTCACTATGCTGTCATATAGACACATATCCTGAAGTCTTCATACGGTACACAAAGAACGAAGGTCATACCTCTGCAGTGCACTGAACTGAAAAAAGCAGGAGAAGGTCAAACTCAGACTCATCATGCTATTTTC